CTTGCCGGGTGCTTGGATGGGGCTGACGGCAATCTGAGCTGTCTGCTGTCACATGTACAGCCACAGCCTGAGCTGATGGATCTGATATATACCTCTGACCCCTTCTGTCAGCAAAAAGTGACAAGGACAGCATCATGGTAAATCCAGAAGGTTAACAGGGAGATAAAACACCATTTGTGTATGTCAGCTCTTTACTGTATACACTTACCACGTCTTTGCTTATGAAGTGCAAAGCACGCAGGTACCAAGCACAAACATTTTGTTATTCCTATAAGCTTTTTCTTATAAAAAGTACACCTGATTTATATTGGCTGAAATCAGAGATTTCAAGGAATTAATTTTAAGTCCACACTGTGCTCTTAATAAGTTTTGATTGAGCAAAGTCTCTTATGGCAGGCCCTTACCCTGGGTATGTAAGGAGAAATGCAGGAGTATGGGAATGAAAGCCCCTCCATGCCTGGTGCACATTCTGCAGCCAGTGGGGTTGAACACAACCATCTCATCAATGGTGTCTGCTTGGTTGGCTTTGAGGCAGCACACTGGAATATCAAAGTACTTGGATCAGGAGAAGGTACGAGCAGGGAGATTGGGAAAGTAATGAAAGCGTCAGCATGCTGCTGCAGCTGCCACAATGCAAACCTCAGCCAGCGCAAATGCACATGCCAGCCTGCTCACATACTCAGCCTGAGAGCTCCTCTGAGTGAGAGCCACATAATTAATTAATTAGTCAAAAAATATACACTTAGTTATTGACTTTTGGTCACCAGTCATCATGTGGAGATATATTTACCCAATTCCACCAGAAAGATACCACCAGAAAGCCTTGACCCCACCCTGTTGGGGGTGACCTCAGCAGAGATCAGGTTTAGGGACTGCTGCATACCTGTGTGACCAGCTGTTCTGCCTTTTGGGAATGGTTGAACCAATCCAAACCTTTGCTTTGAGGAGATACTTGGCTGAGACATAGGTCAGTTTTTCTTATGCAAAGTGGATACCATTTTCGTCTGGAAAAGTTGGATCCAGCCCTTTAATTCTCATGATGCTGACAAAGGGTTGCCAGTAGTTCTTCATTTTCCATCAGCAGGAGTTTGGCCAAGTGGAGTTGATCACCCACTTGCCAAGTGCTCCCTTTCCCACCAGCACAGGAGTGTCGGCTCCATAGCTGAAGACCCTAAGAACTTCCTAGAGGATCGAAAAAACTTGTTACTTTTGTGTCCTGGTGCCTCACAACTGAGGCTGCAGTAAAAAAACATTTTAATACTTCCCATTATCTTTGCCTTGAAGAATGTCGTAATATTCCATAATCCATTTTAATTTGGATAGGAACAACATGGTCCTGGAATGCAATGCTTCTCATGCTCTAATGTGCTCACTCAACTGCAATATTCAGAGAACTGAGAAATAGCAGCAATGTATAATCCTAATGCAAACTATGTGGTGAGAGGGTAATCTAAATTGTGTTTCTGAACAGTTTCTTCATTAAATTCAGGTAGGACCAAAAAGAAATTCTTGGCTTGCTGCACAATAGCCAGGCCAGAACATGGCCTTATGTGTTTTGAGTTCATTTTATCCTGAGTGAACAGGAATTTGTTGCTCTTTCCAGAGCAGCAATGGTTATCATCTGCACTCTGTGTTTTCTGATTAATTTATTACACCCAAGGTAGCATTTTTAATATATGACTCAATTTTTTTCCATTATTTTGTTTCTGTCTCATCAAATGGACTTGAGCATATTATTTATGGCTCAAACCCAGACAGTTTTCAGTGTGTATTACACAGACTTGGTACACATGTAGTAATTAAGTAATTAAGTGATTGCTGTGGATGGAGCATGCCTTCAAGCATCATGCTTGGAGCACTTCTGCCCACTTAGCAAACTTCATCACACATGAGCATGCTTTGTCACACCACATTCAGAAACTGAAGAGGCCTGTACAAATTTGGAAAAGACATATCATCTGGGCCTGTAAGCACAGCAGAGGCTTAAACTGACCACAACTCACTGAACCCAAAGCAGGAGAAAACCTTTAGCCCTGTTTGACACCAGAGGTCAAATGTGGCAGCTGCTGGGCTCCATTTGAGTCTGACCATTTATGAATCAGCTCTCTCTCCCTACGGAGAGCTAGGCCTGGTCAGCCTGCAAAGGAAGAGCAACACAAGTGACTCATAAGAGATTGTGGTGGTTTGACCAGGAAGAAGTGGGAATTCTGGGATGCTGTGGTCAAACCAATGGATGTTCGAGAGTTTGATACTGGCACCTGGTGTAGCCAGTGGGGTTTGGACACACCTCCGAGAATACACAGGGATTAAAAAGCAGAGCTCTG